AAAGGCTTATAGGTTAATGGTTCACATGAAATTATCATGAGATTTATTGCCAAGGCATCTATCTGGGGTAATCAAACTCAACAACTCAAGCCCGAAGGGACTCAACCTCATCTGCTAAAGAAGTTCTCCCATTTAAAACACCATTTGGAATATGAGTCAAAAGTAAGAATGCCACTCACATGGCGGAAAAGAGGTGAATATGACAATTCGTTGGGATAGACATCCTAGAACCTATGAACTAGAACTTCCTATGCCTTTTCTATGGATTCCTACGTGTCAAACAATGGAAAGGAACATCCATCTTGCAACACTGCTAGCAGCATCATGACATCGGTTGTCACAATCAACTATTCTATCAATGAGAAAGAAACGAAATAACAATTTCAATAAAATAGGACCACTCGCCTCATTCGAGTCTTTATCAGTTTCGAAATTATGGAATGAGACATGAAAACGATTTGTCATCCAGGAATCTCAGATCCAAAGTATCATCAATTCTAGCTAGAAGTCAATCAACAACATGGACTTTCAACCACTGGAATAGAGACACCCAATTCTGAAAATGAACGAACACAAGAATATCAATCATCGACTTAGAATCTAAAAAGTCGAAGAAATTATCATAGTCAAATTTGACTCTAAAAGAAGAACCAATAGAATTTAATATCGAACAGATATGAAATCAAATAACAATCTCCAAAACCCGGTGACTGAATAAAAATTTTTGAAGTCAAGATTGACTACAAGTCTCGCACCAATGATAGCCATACACTGAAAGGAAAGGAACAATATGACACGTTTCTATATTATGAAGGAAATTACCGAGACTAATATTCGAAACGAGAAGCGGTCTTGATCTTAGAATAACATTGATTCATAATAAAAAGATAATATGAATCAAAATACAATTATTACACAAAAAGTCCAACTCCATATCAAAATGAATAGAATCCCAAAAGCAAAAAGGCAAAGAATGGTATAGGATTAATATCTATAGTCAATGTCTTACAATGACATGGTTCAAGTTAACGAGGAAATCACCGAGACTAACACTCAAGACAAGAAAGAATTTCGATTCTTAAGTGACATATGACTATGATAGAAAAATAGCACAAATCGATACACAAATAATAACGAAGAGACCAACTCCTGGTCAAAACAGATTAAGAAAAGAATCTGAAATTGGAATCCTGGAACCTATAAGTTATGACCTACCACACTTCCAAACAAAAGCTCGATACACAAATAATAACAAAGAGACCAACTCCTAGTCAAAACAGATTAAGAAAAGAATCTGAAGTTGAAATCTTAGAACCTGTGAGTTATGACCTACCACACTTCCAAACAAAAGCTGAACCCAATTAATATCAGAGATAAACGTCAATCTCTCTACGGGATCCATCGCCACTATCATCATTATCCGAAGGAAGAATGATATCTCATCAACACAAGAAACTCATGAAGTAATCACACTTGAGCAAAACATCCTCAAGAGATAAAAGAACGCATCAGTGAACTGAAACGAATAGCTAGATACAAATCTAGATTTCAAGACTAAACTTGCGCATCAATCAAATCGAGAAAAGCAAAACAAGGAGGGAGGAAACTCTATCGATCAAAATTTGCTGGAACCCAAGTCGTCGCTCTCCATCGACTTAAATCTTTGCGTTAAGCGGGTCGAGAGGTGGAAAAGATCTATACCGATATTCAAACTATGCGAAAGTCAAAACGAATATCGTTTCCTAAACCAAAATTCTCGTAAAAAAAAATTCCAAAGTCAACATTGACTTTGAGTTTTTAAAACTGACAAGAGTCAAGAGAACTTATAGAAACAAATCAATAACCATCGAGTCGAAATCAATACTTCCTGAAAACTTCAAAGTCAACTTTGACCTCGATCTTCATATCGATAAACATTGATAATAGAAACATGGATTTCATCCATCAAAGTGCTCTAGGAAAATGAAACATACTCTAATGTCAAATTCTCAAGTGTAATTGTATCATGTATTAAATAGTATTTTACGATACGTCCCGACACAAAACTGTTAAAATAACTAAAGGACTCAATAAAAACTCACACAGGCTCGATTTCTCATTGAATTTGAAGCCGTGCTCTGATACCAAAAACTGTCACAACCTCAAAGATGCAACCGTGATTATTAGGATATAATTAAAGATGATTAACATAATTAAACTGGATTAATTAAGGAAAATTCATGAAAATAAATAAAAGACACAATACCAAAATAGATATTAAAATATATTGCTCTGAAGTCTTTTTTTTACAAACAATATTTAAAACAGTCCATAAAGTTTAAAATAATACAACTCTGAGATAGTATCGACCAATATAGTTATATACAAAAATACAATACATCTCAGAATTAAAACTGTAAATCCGAAACAAACGTACCGCTTCGAATCTCGCGTCTTCAATCCATTGACATCCACCTGCCATGCTGTAAATCTAAACCGCTAACTCTAGAGGGGGGTTAAAACATTGAAAATAGAGAAAAAATGAGTGAAATACCTAGTAGGATATAGTTTTATAAAACTGAATAAATAAATGAAAGTGCAGGCTTAAACAAATCAGTCAGAACCAAACAACTTTTTTCTGAAAAGGAAAATAAACTAAAATTCCATATTACAGGCAACCGGCAAGTAATTTAAGTAATTTAATTGCGTACGACCAATGCAAGGACAAACACCACCATAGTGGCCCATCTGAATTTCGGGTCATATCCCAAAAAATACGATCTTCATATCTTGTCTAGGCCATCAGCGGGCTTGCCAGTTCGCAAGATATCTTATCTTAAGAAAATATCTATTAAAACTTTAAATCAGTTCATTATGAGATCAATAGCAATAATCAAGTTATTGTCTTAAAATATCTTTTTTTATCAAACATGTCTTGTCATTAAAAACATTTACATGGGCCAAAACACTTTAAAACAGGCTAATAAGGCTATGGACAAGAATATCCTACCTCTCAGATATCAAACCTGTGGCTAACTTCTCGTTGTCCTAGCCTCTGCTTTCCTCAAAGCTTTTAATCCGATCTCTCAACTAGCATTGTCATAAAATAACGTTTTAAGACACGTCCTCATTCCTAAAACAAATCAAGTTCAATTATGTCTAATTGCTTACTATTAGTGTGCCTTGACTCAATCTAAGTTTAACAAATAACTTCACAATTCAATTTGGGGTTCTTTAAAATTGAGATTCAATTCATTAGTTTGGTTTCTCCCCTTTGAATTTCGACTTAAAAACGAGTTTTTAAAGAAATTTCGGCAGCAAGCCGTCAGACATTAGGAAAATGCTAAACCTACAATTTAAGTTCAATTTCAAAACAAATCCTCAAGAAATCATTAAAACCAATTTCCAAACACTTCAATAAGTTCAATAATTGAAAACCCATAAATTTAATCTAAGTTCAACCACAATTTATTCAAATCTAAACCCTAACTAAAATTGATCAAATATAACCAAAATCAAACTTTCTTAAGTTTAAAATTCAAATCAAAGAGTGAGTTTCAAAGGATTTTACCTCAAATTGGTTGATGGGGCCGTTCTCTCTTTTCTCTTTTTTTTCTTGTTGTTTGGCTAGAACAACCCAAAGAGAGAGAGAACGCCGGGAGGGAGAGAGTAGGCGCTGGAAGGGAGAGGACGCCAGAGAAGGGGAAGAGAGAGAGAGGCCGCCGGTGAGAAAAACAGAGGAGAGAGAAGAGAAAAAGAAAGAAAGAGAGAGAAAGTGCAGGGGAAGGTCTGCTGGAAGGAGAAAAGAAAAGGGAAGGAGAGAGAGAAAAAAAGAAAAAGAAAGAAAGGAAAAGAAAGAAAGAAAAAGAAAAAGGAAAAAGAAAAAGAAAAGAAAATGTGGGAAAAATATATTAAAGAGTATTTAGAAAAAAAAAAAAAGAAAAGTAAGTGTATTTTTAAAACTGAAAGTAATTATAAATTTTTAATGATTTGATTAATTAAGAAAAATTAATATTATGCACATTAATACATCACAATTAACATAATTAAATCTGTTTAATTCTTCGATGTGTTACAGTAATCTTGTTTAATACCCTGTTGACTAAGATAATATTTGAATTGAAAATATATTATTCAGAATAAAAAAATAAAAAATAAAAATCTAAATTCGAATGTGTAATTTGTCTTGTTTTTCTTTAAAAAATATTAAAATATTAAAAGCAATTTCTACAATTTATCGTAGAGAAGTAAGCCGAAGGTAACTTCTTTTTGGCTGATTGGGGACCTAGTTTTAGTTTTATGAATTTCTCGTGATGTCTTAAAAAGGCCCTAAAATATTTATGAAATATCCATGGTCCTCTCTTCCTCAATCAACTTCTTTCTTGCTTCGATATAATCTGGTAAAATCGCTCTTCTCAAGTAAGTTTCTTTCAATTCCATGGCAGATTCGGTGCTTCCAATTGATTTTCTTTTTGGGTTGTTTTTTTGGCATGTAATTGTTCTCTCGCTCTACTTGATTGATTTAGTGCAATCGTAAAAGGACTCTCTATTTTATTGGCCGCCTCGGGAAAAGGAATTATGGTTTTGGATTTGAATATTTTGATCATAACACACACATGTGACAGTACTTTTTGCTATTTGAAAAGCAAAAACAATTTTGAAACGTGACCGTATTTGCCATACAATTTTAAGACATCACAGAATGGAAGCAGAAAAAGCTATAGTTGTATTTGTCATCCAAAAACACCAATTCACATTTCAAGTCCCTCCCTCACAATTTCCACAAGTATACTCCGCATCACCTATTGATGCCATTGTATGGGAGGAATAGATACGATGGGGTCAAACCCGCAACCTGCCCTCAAACCCTCCAAGTGGCACTAGAGACTAGACCAACCAGTCTCAGGCCATCATATGGAAGGAATAGATCACCAACCCGTCGTAGGCCATCATACGGCAGGAATGGTGCTACTCACGTTTCTGGTGCTGCTGTTAAAAGCGCTATGAAAATTGTCAACTTTCTCTTCTTATTAAGGTGGAAAAAGATGATTTGGGATAGATTTGTATAACTAAACCTGAAGACAATTCTCAACTAAATACGCTACTATTATGCAGCAAAAGATGTTCAATATGTACACAGTTGACAACAAATGGACTGGCATCACAATACGTTTTATTTCCCGGTATACTTGCAGCTGATACTGTCTACGCTACTGAAAGGTAAAAATCATAGATATATCAAATAAAAATGCTTCAAAATAAGCAGTGCAGCTTAAAGGGTCAAAAATAAACAAACTGGTAATGACCTTATGGATTCGCTGGTATTTGATTTTCAGGCTGTGAAAAGAAGTCTTTGGCATTATGTGCGACCTCTGCTTCAAGTACAGCTTCCAACACAATGTCTGACCCTGTTGCCTTCTCTGTATTCAAATAAGTCACCGGTTTTTTAGTTTAAATACATTTAACGTGCAAAAAAACAATCTTAAAACAATCTATTTGAAAATTTGTGTTGAATGAACTAGTAATTTTGAATTGACTATCCTAAAGAAATACTTATGTAACAAAGCAGTCGGTATACTGGAATGTTAGATTTGTTGGAATTAACATATGGCGTCTTGAAAATAAAAGATTTTAAGAAATTCCTCCTGTTAAACATTCACATATGATTCCCATAAACATAGATGGAATTGGTCAACTACCTATTTATTTGGATAATACCAGTCTGAGTATTATTTTGTATTCACAAAAGGAACACAGCAGAGATGAGCATCAGGCAAACAGTGTCACAAATCCAAAAGAAATGTACGAAAGAAGAATTCTTCGTGATTATTTCAAGGAAGAAGAGGTGATCATAGTAAATATATTAATATTCTTCATCACATTAATTTGAATCTTATGCAGAAAAAATGGAAAATGAAAAAAGAAAAAAGGAAGTGCTACAAACACTGGTTGAAATATACAACAACAGCAACTGAATGTCTACATAGTGTTTAGATTGAAACCACAAGACTATAGATGGTGCCAACTTATTAACCACACCAAGGGCAGAAAAGAAAAAACAATGAAAAAGAATTAGCCTATTTATCTAAAGATCGTTACCTTTTCGATTAGGTAACATCCCGGTGCTTTCAGCCGAAATGGGGAGAATTGCGAAGAGACCAAGCTTCTCTTTCTCCAACTTTGCTTTAAAAGAAGCAGTCTTCACAGCTTCAGATTCGGCCAATTTTGCATAAGCAGTTGCTTGGCTATGCAAATTAATTGACTCTAAGGTTTTGAGATCACTATCATCCTAAAAAACATATGATTAAGAAAATGAATTAAAACGACACAGAATCGCCTTCATGGCCAAAGAAACTCCACAGTCAAAATGGGTTCATCGTGTAAAACCTTCATCATGGTCTTTGCTGGCTGTTTCTCCTCCTCACCCTTCTCAAATACACCATTTCCTATATCAATAAGAAATAACAATATTTCATGTAAAAAAGAAATATTACTAACCCACAATGTTTTATTGTAGAGCCTAATTATTGCCTTGGCGTTCCTACAGTACAACGTCTTAAAGTGAACGTGTGCAAAACCATTATTATTTTTTTATTTTTTTTTCTTTCGCCATTTTATTGCTCTTGGTAATTTAGAATTAAGGCGTCTAGTTCTTAACACGCACAAGAAAATAGAGGGGGAACTTGTTAAAGGCTAAGACTTTACCAGAATTAATAGGGGAGCTATTTTCAAGTGGATTATCCATCATCTTTCTAGTCAAAGGACCAGGATTCACAAGGGAGATGCTTCGAATTTCGTAACGAATTGCCTCTAGCTGTGCCATTGTGTCTTGAAGCTCTTTGTGAATCTAAAAAACGAATTTACAAAACCTAATTTATAAATAAACCTAAAAAGACAAGAATTTCAATCTATCTAATCTCAATTTCTTGCGTACCTGACGAGCTTGTGACTGTTGCATAACGTTTTCGAACTGTCCGCGAGCCAATTGAACATATCCGATTGCACGACCCGCTATTCTCCCCGCTGTTCTGGCGATAATCGGAAGATCCTTTGGCCCTAGCAAAACCAAAAAAAAAAAATTGTTCTTTTTGTCGTGAGATAAACCTTAGAAGCTCGAAAATAAGGGGAAGAAAAGGAATTGGGAATTGATTTTAGAGAGAGAGAGAATTGTACCGACAAGAGCAGCGGTTGCGCCGATCAAAAGGAAGAGCTCGCCATAAGAAATGCCCAGCATTTTGCACTCCTTAGATTGATGCAACCATTCGGAAGGTGGAAGAGACGGTGAAAATGGTCAGGAAGTGCGAGCTTTCGGAGAGATTCATCAAAAAATTGAATTTTCCAGATGCTGCTGAAAAACCTCTGCTAGGCCTTTCAAAAGAAAGAACTAACGATAAACATGTCGTTTTTTGTCCAAAGAAAACAGCAAAAATTTGGAAAACACGTCTTTTTTTCTGAAAAAAATGGGAAATTGGGTTGTGGCCGGTTCTTCACCCGACACAAAATTTATGCCCGGGTGTCAATTTGTGTTGACGTATCCTATTGATTATGTCAGTTAATACGGTTAAATTTGATACGAATATAATATGTTTATTAATTGTGTCAAAATATTAAATATTGTGTCATGTTAACTCATTAATTACATGTTAACTCGTTTATTAAAGGAGTGATAAATGAGTCGTGTTAACCTATATCTCAATCTAATTTTCAACTTGTTATGAAATGAAAAGTGAAACTTATATGAATGTGTTAGGATCGTAGTTGAGTTCTACATTATTAAAGTATAGACTTAACATTTAGGTTTATAACTTTTGAGGACGAATTCTACCCAAGAATTATAACAATTAGTATCAGAGCATGTCCCTCCTCAAGCCCACATTGCGGAAGGGGCGACCTGGGGAGGGACGACTTGGAAAGGCCATAGTGGGCCACCGTGGACATCGGTATTGAAAGCGTGGTGGCATGTTAGGATCATAGTTAAGTCTCACATTACTAAAGTATGAATTTAACATGTGGGTTTATAATCACTTGGACATCATCTTCCTACAAACTAGCTTTTAGAGACGAATTCTACTCAAAGGGTTATAACAGAATGTTTGGTACTTGCCTGTGTACGAATATTGCTTGGGTCAGCACCTAAATTTTCAAGAACACGAGCTGCAACACCCTCACCTTCACGAAGCAGACCCAGAAGCAAGTGCTCAGACCCAATGTAATTATGGCCTGAAACATTGAAGAAAGATGAACATGTCAATCATTTCAAAGACCAACTAAGCAAGTCTGATCAGTTAATACTCTAAAGTGAATGCAATATGCTCTTAAGAACATAATTCATGATGCAAGCTAGTTAATTCAATGTTTTTATCACACTGATTCTACAAGCAAAACATTATTCAGTCAGCATTACATTCTGAAATCGAAGATAACTGTTGTGCGGGAGAATATGCTTTGACACGTCGGATAATAACAGCGCTCCACGTGGCCCCGTAGTAACAACGTCGGCCAAACCGCCGACTCTATGAACCCTCGACGTCCATCAGACCGCCGACTCCATGAACCCTCGACGTCCATCAGGCCGCCGACTCCATGAACCCTCGACATCTATCAGGCTTGCCCGCGTTAAGGATCTTGCTAGGGTTGACCGGAAAGGGGTCTGCGCCTAACTCGATCATTCAAGTACAACGCCGACCGTATAAACGTGGGACCCCATTTGGAGTTACGTCTGGATTTGGAGGATGTGTGTAATGCAGGCATTAATTACAACACCCTAAACCTCCCACAAGTGGACGGTGGAAGGTTACAGGGAGTGCAGAGCCGTAATGGAAGACTAATTAGATGAGTGAACAGCCTAAAAGGTGATTAGCTGGTTATGGGTCCAGGCCCATAGGATGGCAGGCACTCGAGTGGAGGTCTACAGAGGAAGACCGCCCATGAAGTAAACTTGGGCTATAAAAGAGGGGCAAAGCCCCAAGCTCGAGAGGTTCTTCCCTTCTTTTTCACATGTAATTGGAAAACGAAAAATACATACAACAAAACAGTGGATGTAGCTCTTGATTAACAGAGTGAACCACTATAAACCCTGGGTGTCTTCACATTTGAATATCACTTTTCGTATTATTCTCAGACTTCCAAGAATACAACCAACACTTCATAGCGTAACTTCAAATATACAGCTAATTTCCAGCTGGTAACCCCGCGGGATACCAGAGGGTGATCCGGCGTATTTCTGTTGACGAAATTTGACCGTCAACAATTGGTGACTCCACTGGGGAACGAACCCAGAATCTCTGGTTCACACGTTTGACCCCCGACAACGAAGAAGTAGTCAGGGCCTCCGAGGAGAAGAGATCTCAACCATGGCAGCCAAGCAGAGGACAACGCGGTACCTCCGGCGAATGATGGGATTGAAGAAAACCAACCTCCAGTTAGGAATGAAGTTCCACCCCTAGAAGTGCTACGACCTGACCCCTTCCAGATGCAGGCCCAGCTCGCTAATCTGACCGACCTGGTGCGGGGGCTTGCGACTGTCGTCGAGCGGTTGGATGGAAGAAACTCGATGTCGCCTCTAGAAGACGCCCCTAGACCACTGAGAGCTGATGTGGTCGGAAACCAGAATCCTGGTGAGCGCCAAGATGCCCCGTAAGGAATCGGCGACAGCAAAAATCTTAGAGGTGATCCGAGGCCTCGGCCTTCCCAATCCTCCGGCAGTCGCCAAAGAGCCGCCAGACGCCGGGCCCATGAAAACCAAGTAGCTAGAGGCTTGGAGAACCCTGAAGCGCCACTTCAAAACACGGACGGAAACCTTCTTAGAGATTCAGGGTCAATACAAGCAGGCGGAGGGGCGAGGGGCAGGCCAAATGCACAAAGGGCAGAAGCTTCAAGAGGAGCCGGCTCTGCAATCTCGACGGAAGAAGCAAGAGCCATCATGGAACGCATGGCTAGCTTAGAGCAAAAGCTCACAAGCAATGTTGCTGGCCTAAAGAGGAATATAGGGCAAGTAGCAGAGGTTGTAAATGTCGATATTACACCCTATCAAACACATGACCACCCATTCACCTCGGAAATCATGGCGCCACCTCTTCCCGATAAGTACAGGTCACCGTCGATCCCACCATACGACGGCAGAGGGGATCCCGATGACCATTTGGAGATGTACACGGGGCACATGCTCTTACACGGGTATACTGTGGAAATCATGTGCCGAGCCTTCCGAAACCATCTGACGGACTCCGCTCGAAGATGGTTCAGAACACTCAAACTGAACTCCATCTCAAGTTGGGACGAATTGAAGGAGGCTTTCTCCCTCCAGTTTATTGGAGTAAAAAAG